CTGAGTACTAGTACTGTGATTGTGATCCAAAGTGTCAGAATAAGTGCATCCTTTGGTACCCTACAACCATGTGTACACACCACCTGCATGCTCTGCACCCATGGGTGTGAGCACCATACCGAAGTGATGCTCACAACAATGTAAGGGAATGTCTCCTGCCCCCGTGCCTGACTATTCCTCGCCGGGGCCCCTTGGAGGGGAGCGGGTTGAGCTTTCCTCCCTGCCCTGGCCAGGGCCCCAGCAGCCGAAGACCTCCAGGACCAGCCACCACCATGCTGAGACCACTCTCCGCACACCTGAAGGTACCGGCAGAGGGACAAAGCCACGTGGGTTCCGGGGCCGAGATCTCCAAGCCTACTCGGATTGGAGTCGAGCATCCTCCACCCAGATCCTCCAAATTCCAGTAGGCGGGGGTCACACCCACCAACTGGCCCCCTGGCGCTGTGTAATCCCATCAGCAGCCAAGACTCTGAGACTATAAAAACCAGCTCCCGGAGGAGAAGAGCGCAGTCTCCTGCTCCCGCGCCTGGCTATTCCTCGCAGGGGCCCCTTGGAGGGGAGCGGGTTGAAGGGAATGGGAAACAGCAAAAAGAAGACAGGCCATGTTTCACACCCATTCACAATGTTGTGGTTGAGCAATCGTATTGAACTTCTTTGATCCATGTAATCAGTTGTGACAGTCATTATTAGATCTATAGCTGAGATGGCTTCTTCACTACATTTTCCGCTGATTTAAACAGGAAGTGGTGTTGTGCCCAAGTTTCAGATTCCGAATTGCGGAGAGACCAAGTCACACATGATAATGCAAAAGCAAAGGAACTTTATTACTAGCCCGAGCCAGCGCTAGCTCGAGCAAGGGTCCAAGTCTCATCCATCCAATGCAGTGGAGTCTTGACAAGGACCCCGACTCCAAATCACAAGCAGTTTATATAGGGTTGAGTCAAGAAGTGGCTTATATACTGGTCTATTTTTAGCACTGCCCTATTACAACAGTGGTCAGCAATTAGACAGCAGGTACCAGTAACAGTTTGGGGTTCTTTCCAAGAAGGGTGCAACAACCCCTCATAACTGGCCAGATCCGACTGCCCAGTTTCTTATCTAGGTGAATTACTGAATTGGGAGTTTACAAGAAACTGCTTTGGGGAAACAGAAACTCAGTCCTAGTTGAGACTTAACGTTAGCAGCAGCTTGTCAGTAGCTTCTGAGGAGCCTGTTTTGGGCCTCACAGTGGCCCCCATGTAGGATGTGCTCCTTACTCTGCTCCACCATACATGAGACTGTTCCCCAATGTGGATGCCGTTTCACCTTGCTTTCCCTACAAACCCCCCTGCTAGGCAGGCAGCCTCTCATGTGGATTATTTTTCGGTCCTCCAGCTCTGACATCTTCCTTTTGGTTCTCCTATGTTGCCTCCCTATTTGCTCTGCTGTATCTCCGACACCCATTTCTGGGTATAATGTGCCATCTGGCTTTTCCTTTAGATTCAGATACCCCAGGGTTGGCCATCTCTGGCATGAAGACTCTGCTCGGGTATGTCCCTCTCTGCTGGGATGCCTTCCTCACTGACCTGAGGCTTTGAGGCACATGCCCAACCACTGCTAAAGCTACAGCTTCGCACTGCTAGACCTAAAGCTGTGCCCTTCACTGCTCAGCCTCTGATTTCGCTGGCCAATGCATTTTTTCTCTACATGTTTTTCTCATTCTGTTTGATTTGGAGTCCTCTGGACCTTCATAGCTATTTTCTGTCTGTCCACTTTTTCTTTGCTTTGCTTTGCCTTCCTATGTTTTGAAGGGCACAAGGGAGAGGGAGAAAAGAATAAAAGTGAAGATATAGGCATAGAAGAAAAAAGAAGGAAAATATGTAAGAGGAAGAACCATAAATCTTTTCTTTCTCTATTTTTGTCCACTGCCCCTTCTTTCTTCACTTCCGATGTTATTAAAATAGGAATATAATTATGGTGGTGATTGCCACTTTGTAAAAGGTGATGATAACGTCAACTGGAATATCAGTAAAAGAATGAGAAAATTTAGTACCGAATATCTGTAGAACTTGATGACTGATGACATAAACAGGTTATAAATTGACATAAACAGTTTAATTTTCAAATGACCCTTGACTTGTTGATGTCAGACTCACATGTGGTTACAGAATTGTGACAGCATTAATAAGGGTTAGACAGGAAAAAATGCAGAAAACTCTCTAAAGGAGTGGAAAGTGATTGAACATATGGGGAGTTCTATTTGGTACATTTTGAATGTTATTTAGGCATTTGGAACGGGATGGGCATTCAGAAAAAGGAATAAGATCTTCAGTTGTGGATGTGAGATGTCGAGTTATTTTTTGAGAGTTGTCATAATCTTGGGTTGGTCAATTATATAAGTATAATTTATTTGAAAAAGACTGACTAGGAAGAAAACCATTGTATTTTGGATATAGAAGACTCAGGTGTTAGATTCAAGAATAGATAAGAGAGAGGGAGCAAAATAAATAAATAAAATGTGAGAAACCTTGCCAAAGGTAACACTGTTACTGTTGCAGAACTGTGAGTCAGTATGAATCAAATTTCATATTTGTGAGGTTAACAAATCAAGAAAAGGTAGTTTACTAAGCAATGAAAGGAAAGCAGTACATAACTAGGGAGCATATATGGGAAGAGTAAAGTATATAAAAGTTTGAAGGTAATGAGTGCAGACCAGGAGAGCTGGGTTTCACCAGGTGATGCCCTAAAATGTTGAAGGCTGCAAAGTCTTTCAGGTGAGTCCTGAAAGCATAAGTCTGTTGTAGGGAGAGACAGCTTTATACTGAGCCTCACCAACAGGGGTACCTCACCAACATGCCAACTCTTCCAGAGTTCACAATGTGCAAGGCAAATCCCCTACCCACAGTACTATCACCCAGACCTCCCTAGCTAATTTTTGCAAATGAAGCCCTCTAGTTCACACACTGTTCTCAGTACTTTTTGTGAATAATCTTATCTTTATAGCAACTTCCAATTTGGTAACAACATTATAGTGATTCTACACATGAGAAGACTGAGGCCCGTCTGCCTCGTGAGCTGGGAAGAAGGCAGCTGGAATCAAGAAGGGATCACTAAGTCAATGATGGTTGGAAGGATTGTTAGGGATGGGAGTTGTGTGCTGAAAGTAGATAAAGGACCAAACTTGATGGCCTCTCAGTATTTGTATTGCAAACCATAATGCCCACAACTATAGAGAGAGAGTATGGGGGAAATTATCTGCCATGGAGGTGGGGGAGGGTGGGAAAGGAGGGGGTTACATTGGTGACAGAGAATGTGCACTGGTGGAGGGATGAGTATTCCATCATTGTATGACTGAAACTCAAACTTGAAAACTTTGTAACTGTATCTCATGTTGATTCAATTAAAAAAAGATGGGGGCTTCTAACTTCTTCAAGATTATAGGGCAAGAATGTGACAGAGAAAGAGTTCAAAGTCTAATTCAAAAGTTTGTCTTTCTAATTCATATGGACTGTGTGAGAGGGGAGCTAATTCAAATTTGAATTTAATTCACACATCTATACTGAAGATGGGTATGTCAGGTTTACCCTGTTTCAGTAACTCACCATTTTCCATCCTTCCTAAGAGGAACGAATTTGTTATTTTAACCTTTTATTATACCTTTAGCCTTTCATTTCATTTCATTTCATTTCATCATCCTGTTATTCGTCAGTTGCCTCGAGCAGGCCCCAGTAACGTCTCTTTCATCCTAGCCCTGATATTATATTCAAGGCTCTTTAGGAGAATGAGACCCATCATTGTTACTGGTATTTGGCATATTTGGTACGCCACGGGGAGTTTGCCAGACTCTGCCCTGTGGGCAGGCTACATTTGATAGCCTGCAAGTTTATCCAAAGTAGGAATGAGACAATAAGATGTCATAAAAAAAAAAGCCTTATCCACTGTAAATCTCTCTGGCCCCATTCTGTCTCTTTAAGGTGACTACAAATATTATTTCTGATGGATTAATTTTGGGGGAGGGGCCCACACCTATTGGTGCTCAGGGATTATGCCTGTCTCAGTACTCAGGAATTACAACTGGCAGTGTTCAGGGGCCCATATGGGGTGGCAGGGATAAAACCTGGGTTAGCTGTGTGCAAGTCAAATACCCTATCTGCCCTGCTATCACTCTAGCCCCTCTGATGGATTTATCAAATTCCTTTCTTTGGGGGGAACTTCCCTTTACTTTGAATGTTCTAACTGCCTTCAAAACTTTTTAAAAAGATTCAGATGCTCTTAACCTTTTTTGGCATCTGTGAACAGGTATCTGTCTGCATACTGTCCCATTGACCGGAATTTAGAACAAAGCAATAGACAAAGTGTATTTTTACCTTTCTACACCCGCAGAATATGGAATATTGTTCTAGATGCCCTGTATAAAGGAGCATTGTTCTCAAGTAAAGTCCATCCTAGCACACTCATGTGGATTTTCTTTACACACAGTAAATAGGAGCAAACTAAATCCAAATGTTAGCCAGATTAGCACTTGCATATGGTTCAGGGAAGTGATCTCTCCTAGATGGAGATGCTACGGGACTAAAAATAAAGGGAGGTGTAAATAAAAATGATCAAGACTAAATATTTGAGGGGCTGTCAGGGGAGATAGCTCAAGTAATAGGAGTGCTTGTCTTGCAAGCATGTGGCCCTGACATTGATCCCTGGCACCACACAGTTACCTTGAGGTTACCTTGAGTACCGCTGGGGGTAGTCCTGAAGCCCCCAACGCACCCCTGGTGGTGCCAGAGCATTGTGTGGTACCTCTTCTTAGGAGCCCTCTCTCCCCCCAGTCCTCCCAGAGAGAAGAAAAAAGACCAAGCCTTTGAGTTGATATTTCTGCTAATCCACTTTTTGGTAAGCAATTAATCGGTCTTAATTACGGAGACTTAAAATAGTACAGTTTCTATCATGTGCTGTTACCCACATTTTATTAACTGTGATTTCTTTTTTCGTTTTTTTTTTGCCTTTATTTTAATTTCTCTCAACAGGATGTGAAGGGCTAACAAAACTTGACTTGACCGTCAACTTCATTGGTGAGCTGAGCAGTGTTAAAACCCTCCAGCACAATATCCACCTGAAGGAACTCTTTCTCATGGGTAACCCATGTGCTGATTTTGATGGCTATAGGCAGTTTGTTGTGGCAACTCTTCAACAATTAAGGGTATGCTTATTTTCATAATGAAAAACCTGTAATCTGCAATTATAATGATTTTTTTTATTTCTTCACAATTTCAGAGAATGTGTTGTTTCAGAGACTGGAATATTTATAAAAACCAAAACCAATTCTTTGACTATTGAACTTCTAAAATTGTTTTTAAGTGTTCAAAAATCTTTGAAAAATAAATTTCATACTTTTCTCTTTTCCCATTTGTGACACAGCAGAGCTTGTTTGAACTATTTCTTTAATTCAAATCAATGTTACAAAGAGCATTCATCATTACTAAGATCAAACTGAAAGGTTTTGAGATGATTAAAGCTAAGTGACTTTTTAATTAAATCACTTTGCTTTATTAAAAAAGAATTTATTATTATTATTGTTATTATTATTAGGTTTTGGGACACACTCGGCAATACTCAGGGCTCACTCTTGGCTCTGCACTCAGGGATTACTCCTGGTGTTGTTTGGGATACCATATGGCTTTGTATGGCATTCCGGGGATTGAATCCAGGTTGTGCAAATGCAAGGAAAGAGCTTTACCCATTGTACTGCCTTTCCAGTTCCAGAACTAATTTTATTATAGCTTTATTTTTAACTTCCTCGTGTGGTGGTAGTTCTCAAACTTTAGTGGGCATTGAAATACTTGGATGGTAATTATTAGGTCTCAGAGTTCCTGGTTCAGCTGGTTTGCTACACCATTGAGAATTTTGCATATTTAATCAATAAGCTCTGAGGTGGATCAGATGCTAATAGTCCAGGAGTTACTATTTTATCTATTAGCCTCTTTTTTACAGAACTGCTAGATTAGTATTTTAGAAACTTTGGAAATGACATGTGATTTCTAGAGAAATCATCTACTTGAAGCTACTGAGGTAGTATTGTTAATTTTCATATAATTATGGCCGTTCTTGACCCTCATGCTTCTGTCAGGAGAATACATAGATGCATTGGCTTTGTCATGGACCTTTTTTTTTCTGAAATAAGTACTTTTATTAAAGGTATTGTTAACTGAACAAAACAAGTTGCCTATCACAAAAGTTTTCATGATTATCTTTGGACATGGCAGTAGGGGTAGAAAGAAATCTTTTTTTCTAATTTTTTTAAAATACTCTCGGCAGGCTACCGAGAGTATTCCACCCACATGGACAGAGCCTGGCAAGCTCCCCATGGTGTATTCAATATGCCAAACACAGTGATGACAATAGGTCTCGTTCCCCTGACTCTGAGAGAGCCTCCAATCGTTGGGAAAAGATGAGTAAAAAGAGGCTGCTAAAATCTCAGGGCTGGGAAGAATAGAGATGTTACTGGTACCCGCTTGAGTAATTCGAAGACCAACGGGATGACAGTGATACGGTGAATACAGTGATTTATATATTAAATCACCATGACAGTAGAGCATTACAAAGCTGTTTGTGACTGGGTTACAATCATATGGTGTTCAAACATCCATCCTTCCACCAGTGTAATTCCCCAGCATCAACGCCCCCAGTTTCCCCACCCCCTTCACAATTGACCCCATGCTGGCAATGCAGTGTTCTGGCTTGAGAGGCCTGGAATGCGGGCTAGGAGTTGTTTCAGTGCGCTGGTTGCAGTGTCTCTGATTTGACCAAACTTTTGCAATAAGATGAGTGCCTTAGGTGTTTACAGGCATGATGAAGCCATTGCTCTGAGAGTCGATGCTCCCTGTTTCACCTGACACTCCTGTCATTGGAGCAGGTTGAATCTCAAAGAGAAAGGCTGCAGTGGGCACTAAAACTACACTTAATGGGGCTCTGTGTGTATTAATGCATAGGCTTTGGAGCAAGTCTTTCATCAGAGTCAACTATTAGAATAGGCAACAGCATCTCTTTGAGAAATACTATTTGTAAGTGTTTGCCAGTGTTTTACAGATAAGTTGATAAACTTTGTACTTGTAATTGCCACTTCATCAAAAGCTTGCAATTTACTTGAAAGGAATTGTATTAAATGATGTCTTATTCTCCTAGGATTGTCACGACAAAGTACAGGGAACTGCCTGAAACCTCAAACTTTTATTGACAACACAGAAGTCTAGAAGTTTGAGATCAAAGTGTCTGTAGTAGGAGTTAGCTCCTAAAGACAGCGAGGAGAGTCTATTTCTAGCTTTTCTTCTAGCTTCTGGTAGTTTTTGACTGTGCAAGATTTTTTTTTTTTGGCTTATATCTGTCTCTTCACATAATAGTTTTTTTTAAAATCTACTTTCGTGTGCTGAAAGTAGGTAAAGGACCAAACATAATGGTCTCTCATTATCTGTATTGTAAAACCATAATACCCAGAAGTAGAGAGAGAGTTAAGAGGGAAATTGTCTTCCACAGAGGCAGAGGGAGAGGTGGGACGGTGGGGCTGGGGTGGGGCAGGGAGAGGGATACTGGGGACATTGGTGGTTAAAAATATACACTGGTGGAGGAATGGGTGTTTGATTATTGTATAACTGAAACTCAAACGTGAAGGTTTTGTAACTGTAGCTCATGGTGATTCAACTAAAAGAATTATAATATGACAGTCATATTGGACAAGGGGCTACTTTCTCCTGTATAACCTCAACTGAGCTAATTACATATGCCATAGTTATTTCCTAATAAGGTCACATTCTGAATATGGACTCAGGAATTCAAGGTAACAGTTCCCCTCACCCCCCCCCCCCCACCCAGAGACACAATTTTGTTCACCACAGCTCATTTATTTGAGTTCCATATATAAAAGGTAAAGGCCCTCCCGTTGATCGTCGATTTGCTCGAGCGGGCCCAGTAACGTCTCCATTGGAGACTTTGTTGTTACTGTGTCTGGCATATCGAATACTCTCGGTAGCTTGCCAGGCTCTCCGAGAGGGGCGGAGGAATCGAACTCGGGTCGGCCATGTTGGCCGCTTGTAAGGCGAACGCCCTACCCGCTGTGCTATCGCTCCAGCCCTGCTATCGCAGTTCCATATATACATATCTTTTTTTTTTTTTGTGACTGAGCCACTGGTAAGTATGCACTGCAGAATAGTGAAAAAAAAAGTTTTGGTAATAGACTGGGATTTTGCTCATATCTCCACCATGAATAGTGTGCCCCATTTGTTTTTCATCAATAATGGACAGTTTCTACTTTCTACATTCTGTGAGAAAGTCGGTACATTTTTTTTTGCTTTTTTTGGGGGGTGGAGGTCACACGCGGAGATGCTCAGGGGTTACTCCTGGCTCTGCACTCAGAAATCACTCCTGGCGGTGCCTGGGGTCCGTCTGCAAGGCAAACGCCCTACCCGCTGTGCTATCACTCCAGTCCCAGAAAGTTGGTACATTTTAAATTCTGTTTCTTTGCTTTTTTTTCTTATAGTATATGTGAGATCATTCTATCACTGTATCACTGTCATCCTGTTGTTCATCGATGCCTCGAGCAGGCCCCAGTAACCTCTCTTTTGTCCTAGCCCTGAGATTTTAAGAAGTGCTACATTCGAGGCTTTTTCAGGGTCAGGAGAATGAGACCCATCATTGTTACTGGTTTTTGGCATATTAAATACACCACAGGAGTTTGCCAGACTCTGTCGTGTGGGCAGGATACTTTTGGTAGCCTGCCAGGTTCTCCAGAGTAAGAACTAGTAAATGGAGATGGGTTTTATAGTTCCTGGGTCTTGGCCAATGATGGGATTGCACGGCGCCAGGGGCAGTAAGTGGGTGTAATGCCTACATACTGGAAGGTAGGGGATGTGGGTGGAGGAGGCCCCAGTCCCAATCCGAGCAGGCTTGGAGATCTTTGGGTTTCAGGAATTCTAAATGAAAAACATTAGAAATGCTATAGTGTGTAACTTAAATGGACAGGAGTGGTAGTAGAGTGGGTAGGGTGCTTGCCTTAAACACTACTAACCCAGATTTGATCCCCAGCATCCTGTATGGTCCCTGGAACCTGCCAGGAACTCTTTCTGAGTGTAGCTGGGTGTGGCCTCAAGGGCCTCAAAACAAACCAAAACAACTACATAACCAAACCAAAAAAAAAAAAAAATCCACCCTCATTCATTAGACCTCCAAAACTCAAATGTGATTTTTTTCTTTTTATGTAGGAGTACGGCTATTTATTCAGCCACTGGTTAGCTGATTGAATTGTGCATGAACTCCACCTTACTTTTTAAAAATTTTTTATAATTTTATTTATTGAATCACTGTGAGAGCAGTTACAAAGCTTTCGGGTTTAAGTCTCGGTCATACAATGAAACACCCATACCTTCACCAGTGCCCATTCTCCACCCCTAACAACCCCAGTATACCCCCATCCCACACCCTCCCCCTACCTGTGGGGCAGATGATTTCCACATTACTCTCTCTCTATTGATCACATTCAATATTTTGACACCAGACCCACCAATATTATTTGAGATTTTACCCCAACACTCAGATCTGCTGAAAAGACAACAGTAGACAATTTGTTTTCTATTGCTGGTTATGAATAACACAAGATGTCGCATGGCTGCAGTAGTGGCCACGCAATTTTGAAATTCCAAAATTTTAACCCTTAAATCTGGAGGGATTTCTGCCAATACCTACTGGGTTCCAAGGTTTGCTCCTGAGTCTCTGGGATCATGGCCATTAAGCAGCTTGATCAGGAGCCAGAAAGGGCGTTCGTGAGCAATGACTTGGGGTCTCGTGGGGGTGGGGAGGACAGGACCGGCTCCACCCCCATCCTGTAAGGCCCAAAATGTCTTGTCACTGTGGGCCCAAATCTGACTGTCCAATGGCCTCTGAAGGATAATGGCCACCGAGCCGCCAGGGGGAAGCAGGCGAAGGGACAACACCCTTTTCCCCCTGGGGTGGCCCGGCGATGGTAACCTACTGTGGGGTCCGGACGCATTTCTGCCAAAAGCTGCAGGGTTTTGAGATTTGTTTCTGAGCCTCTGGGATCATGGCTGTTAGGCAGCTTGATCAGGAGCCAGAGAGGCAGTTCATGGACGATGACTTGGGGTCTCGTTGGGGTGGGGAGGACACGACCGGCTCCACCCCCATCCCATGAGACCCAACAAGTTTTGTCACTGTGGGCCCAAGCCTGACTGTCCAATGGCCTCTGGAGGATGACGGCCACCGAGCCACCAAGGTGGAGCAGCGAGAGTGGCAACACCCTTTCCCCTCTGGGGTGGCCCGGCAATAGTAACCTACTGTGGGATTTGACACATTTCTGCCAAAAGCCACTGGTTTTTGAGATTTCTTTCTGAGTCTCTGAGAGCATGGCCGTTTAAGCAGCTTGATCAGGAGTCAGAGAGGCTGTTTTGTGGGTGAAGACTTGGGGTCTCATTGGGGTGGGGAGGACACGACGGGCTCCACCTCCATCCCATGAGGCCCTGCGTGTCTCGTCACTGCGGGCCCAAACCTGAGTGTCCAGTGGCCTCTAGAGGATGGTGGCCACCAGACTGCCAAGGGGAACAGGCTAAGGCACGAAACCTATTCCCACCTGGATTGGCCCAGCACCGTTAACCTACTGCAGGGACCGGATGCATTTCTGCCAAAAGCCGCTGGATTTTGAGATTTGTTTCTGAGTCTCTGGGATCATGGCCATTAAGCAGTTCAATCAGGAACCAGAGGGGCCATGCCTCCAATTATATAGCTGAGCCGGAGGTGGTTTGTGGGTGTGTTTCCTATATACCTAACTTTTGGCCGTTTACTTTCTTGGTAACCTTTTCCCCAAGTTTTTGGGGTCTGGCCAAAGGCACAGCAGCAATTTTGGGGTATCTGGAAGTCTGAAGGTGCCATCAGGCTGCTGATGCACAAACCTCACAGGTACAGATTGACCTGCTGGTGGCACCATACCCCCTTCAAGTGTGATTTTTGGCTTTAAGGAATTTAGGCCATTTTCAAAGGTTACCTTTAAAAATCATAATAAAAAAAGATTCAATAATTCAAACCCTAGAACAGATGCTGGTAGATGTTGAAATATCTTCATATATTTTCAAAATGTGTTTTGTTTTGTTCTGTTTTGCCTCCTGTCTCTAAGGTAACAGGGAAGTCATTTGTCATAATCTCTTAGGAACAGTAGGTCTAGCAATTATATCTGTGTGTGTGTGTGTGTGTGTGTGTGTGTGTGTGTGTGTGTGGTGTATGCCTGTGAACGCACATTAATACTTGATTTTATGTTCTAAATAAGTTAAGAAAACATTATCTTGCTTCCTTCCAAATGTTTATCAAAATGTTAATGAAAATTTATATTTGACCATATGGTCATGGTCTTCCTGTTGTTCATCAATTTGTTCGAGCGGGCCCAGTAACGTCTCCATAGTGAGACTTGTTACTGTGTTTGGCATATTGAATACATCACAGGGAGCTTGCCAGGCTTTGCTGTGTGGGCGAGATACTCTTGGTAGCTTGCCAGGCTCTCCGAGAGGGGTGGAGGAATCGAACTCGACTTGGCCAGGCCAGCTGCACACAAGGCAAAGGCCCTACCGCTGCACTATTGCTCCAGCCCATTTGATCATAATCTCTCAGTTTATTCAATCTTAATTTAAAATCTTTCAAGATCTCCACAGTGAATCTCTACATGGTAAATGAATTTTGGAACTGTTATGGGAAAGCTATAAAGCTATAAAACCCAGCTACCGGACATCTTATTATCTCATTCTTGCTTTGGACAACGTGGTGGGCTACCAAATGTAACCTGCCCACATGGCAGAGTCTGGCAAACTCCCTGTGGTGTACCCAATATGCCAACTACCAGTAACAATGATGGGGTTCATTCTCCTAACCCTGAAAGAGCCTTGAATGTGGCACTTTTTTGAATCTCAGGGCTAGGACGAAGGAGACGTTACTGGTGCCTGCTCAAGGCAATCGAGGAACAACAGGATAATCATGATTGTTATGGGAAAGCTTGAAATTGTTTCATTTTCTAATCAAAGATAACAAAAATCATGGAACTGATCATGTTTTTCTGTTTTGCTTTCACTGTATTTATAATTCCACCATGATTCTGCATTATTTATTGTTTTTAAACTTTAAAATATTCCAGTCCAAGTCTACCGGTGCTGATTCAAATTGTGACTTTTTCATAACTGCACCCTGTTGATTGTCCTTTTCTTCTAGTGGTTGGATGGTAAAGAAATAGAGCGTTCAGAAAGGATTCAAGCATTGCAGAACTTTCCAGAAATTGAACCATCTATCAAAGAGCAGGAAAAAATTTACTGTCTTAAACGAGCCAAAGAAAAGGAAGCGACTCAGAAAAAAGTTCAGGAAGAATGTGGAAAGGAAAAAAAGAGAAGTCACAAAGAGAATTTCAGGCAAGTGAACCTTAGAACTCACTGTGCTTTTGTTAGTCACTAGGGTTGCTTTCCAAGATTCTGGTAAAATCATCAAGCTATATGTTCACTTCCCCAATATGAATGCAATCTAGCTTCTTGAACTATGGGTTACCAACTGGGGTAACGTTTTAAAAACTTATTTTAAAATAAGTTTGTATGGTTCATTATCAGTGAATGGTTTCTATACCGTACTTCAACATCTTGGGTGAAAGGGATCGCCAATGGAAAAAATATAAGAAGCCTGGTTTACAGTATCATGAAACTCCAGATGATTAACTTTGAAGAATAAATTAGGATGTGAATTTTGGGGAAAGTAGAGCATCCCACTGTTTGTGCCAGTTCTATGAGGTTTTCCTCTCAGAAACAAATGCCTTTCTAAACCAGCAGCTTTAATTTGCATCTAAAATTATCTTCAAATCTCTTGGAAAATGTGCACAGGAAAGATGAATTAACAGGTGTACTTAGATTTGTAATGTAGGACTGTTTCAGAAAAAGTTAGATGCAAATCACATTATTATAATTGAACAATTTTAATTGCATCATAAAATGTTCTATTTTGTGAACTGTATACTAATACATTTTAATGTGATTAATGTGACTTTAATTGGTATACTTTTACAAACATAAATATTTCATGCTTCTTCATTTTAAATGAATTGCAACTGTTGTCAGCTGATTTGATTCTATACTACAAAAGCTTTAAATATTTTGATAATGGGACTGGATATGTGGCTCAGTGATAGAACATGTGTATCACCTGTGTGAGGCATTTTGCATTCAATCCCCAGAACTCAGAAAAATAGAAAATAAAAGAAAGATAAATATTTTCATAATAGAATTTTAAACTTGAGAAAATAATAATCATAAAATATTTCAAACACATAAATGTTTATAAAGTGATAACTATATAGACCCACTATATAGATTTTTAAAATGTCAATAGTTTTGCCTTTTATTTTCCCTAAGAAGTGACCTAGGGCCACGCCTGATGATTATTAAACACTTAGCTAATTATTCAATGAGAGAGACTAAGGATGTCGTGCTCCTCCAGCCTTGCAATGCTGGGGAGTTATCTGGGCTATCAGGTAATGCTTCCTGTACCCAAATCAGCAGCTTTCCAGGGGTCTCCGGGGCTGCATCTGGTAGTGCTCAAGGCACTTTCTGGTGCCAAGGATTGAAACTAAGTCACATGCAAAGTGTGTGCCTTAATCCTTGTACTATCTACATGGCCCTTGGAATACTGCATAATTGGTCTTACCAATTGTTTATTAAAGCATATTCACTTATACTCACCTATCAATAGTGGAGGAGTTCTTCATCTTTGTCAATATCATCAATATGGTGATAGTACAGCAAGTAGGGTGATCCAGGTGTGACTGAAAACAAAAACAGACAAAAAGATATGTTAATACCTAAGCCAATCAAGTTGAGTGGCATATAGCATCTGATATTTAATTCACATTTTAAAAATCACTAAAGTGAAAGATTGTAGCTACCTTGTATATTTTCAATTGTTTTCAATTATAATTAAATGGACTACTTTTCCTTGTTGAAAAAATCACTAGAGTAAGAATTTGTATCTGAAATAGTATCTTAAATTAGTGTCTGAAAGGTGGTTTTTTGGTTATTATTTGTGTGTGTGTGTGTGTTTGTTTGTTTTTGCTTTTGGGTCACACCTGGCTATGCACTAAGCATTACTCCTGGCTCATGTACTCAGGAATTACTCCTGGCAGTGCTCGGGGAACTATATAGGATGCTGGTAATTGAACCTGGGTCAGCGCATGCAAGGCAAATGCCCTATCCACTGTGCTGTCTCTCCAGCCCCTGTTTTTGTTTTTTTTAATTACTACAGGGTCATATTTGTGTGAGATTAATCTTTCTTATTACTAATCTCTCCCCCATGAACAGCTAATTGTCTCTGCACTATTGGTTTAGATGCTGTTCTTCCACAGATCTCTTTTAGCATTTTACCATATAACCTCCCCTCAGAGAGAAGGGAGCTTCATCTGTCTGGGGCTTCCTGATAACCTTTAACTAATTTTAGTTTCTGTGGGTTTATGGTGAATCTTGATATTTTGAAGGAAATATTCTTTTATTTTAGATTTGTTTATTTTTTGTTTGTTTGTTTGGGGGCCACACCTGGCTGTGTTTTGGTTTACTCCAGGCCCCGCATTCAAGGATCACTCCTGATAGGTCTTTGGGAACCATATGTCGTACCTAAGATCAAACTTGGATCAGCCTCTTATCAGGCAAGGACTCTACCTACTGTACCATTGCTTCAGCCTCTCAAAGTATTCTTAATTATACATGAAATTTCACTCATATGCAAAATTTTTTGTTGTTGTTAATTTTGGAGGGAGGGGAGCACACCTGACAGTGACCACAGCTTTCTCCTGGATTTGTGTTTAGAAATCACTCCTGGCAGGGAGACATGTACGTGGTTCCAGGGATCAAACCTGCATCTACTCTTAAGGTGCAAGGAAATACCCTGCCTACTATACTATCATTCCAGCCCCTGTTCTGAAAAAAAAGAAAATTAAGATCCTCTATTTAGACTCTAAATTCCTAATGTGATTTTGATTGAAATTGTCACTGTCACTGTCACTGTCACTGTTCTCCGATTGTTCATCGATTTGCTTGATCAGGCCCAGTAACACCTCCATCGTGAGACTCATTGTTACTGTGTTTGGCATAGTGAATATGTCACGGGTAGCTTGCCAGGCTTTGCTGTGCGGGCAAGATACTCTCTGTAGCTTGCTGGGGTCTCCTAGAGGGGTGGAGGAATCGAATTTGAGTCAGTCGGGTTGGGCTCATGCAAGGCAAATGCCCTACCTGCTGTGCTATCACTCCAAACATTGAAATTATATTTATTTTATATTAATTAGGGGAAAAGTTGGAGTCTTCATGACTTTGATTCTTTCCTTGTTGAATTTTGGAATAGCTCTATTTATTTCTAACTTTTGAGTTCTTTGATAAGATTTTATAATATTCTCTGTAAATTTCTTACATTATTTTTGTTACATTTCTATGTATCTTGTAGAATGAGGTTTTTAAATAGAATTATAATTGCTTCTGTTGATGCATAAAAATGCAACTGATTTCTGTATACTATATTTTTAAAGCAGTTTTTCTGAACTTTTAAAAAAGAAGGTAAATCTGTAGGTTATCTTATGTTTGCTACTTTAAAAAATATATAGTTTTAAGTAATTGTCTTTCCCCCCTACCAGCCCATTTTTTTGGCCACACCTGGTGGTGCTCGAGGCTTATTCTTGTCTTTGCACTCAGGGATCACTCTCAATAGGCTTGGGGAACCATATGTGGTGTCAGGAATCAACCCTTGGTGAGTCAAGTGCGTGGCAAGCACCCTGTTCTTTGTACTATCACTTTGGCCTGAAACTCACCTCTTTAAAAGAATTCTTAAAATCGTTTTTCATCTACTTTGCATTTTTCTTTGTGGTGCCTGCCTCGAACTTTCAGGCTGAAGTAGAATAGCAGTAATAAGGATGGTTTGCTCTATCTTGTTCCTGATTCTAGAAGGAATAGTTCTAACTCTTCATCATTAAGTATCACTTTAGCAGTGGTGTTTTAGTTAAGGAAATTTCCCCCTTTTTACCCTTTCTCTAAGGGTCACTTGTAGCTCTGCACTCAAGAATTACTCCTGGTGTGCTCAAGGGAAGCTAGAGATCAAACCTGGGTCAGACACATGCAAAGCAAACACCTACCCACTGTACTATCAGTCTGGCCAAGTAAGTTTCCTTTTATACAAACTTCATAAAAAGCTTTTGCCATTACAAGTACCAGATTTTTATGTTGGGATAGTCTTGTTTTACTTGTTAATGTGCTGAATAAGATTAATAGATTTTTCAATATAAAACCATCCTTGAATTTCTAGAATAAACTTGATTTTTCAATTATATTTTGAAATACATTATTGCATTTGTCTTTACTTATATTTTATCTATCGATAGATCTATGAATGTAGATTTTTAGATTTTTGCTACAATGCCTCAGGAATGTTTTTCATTTGTTTTTTGTCTTTCTTTTATATTTAGGTGCAAGAGATCAAGCTTGGGTGACACATTCATTGAGCCACATCCCCAGACCCTTTAATTCTATTTCTCTGATGTTTTGCTGCAAAGCAATGAAATGTGTTGGGAATGTTTGGTTGATAAAAGTTTATACAAATTATGCCAGACACAGTAACAACAAAGTCTCCAATGGAGACGTTACTAGGCCCGCTCGAGCAAATCGATGATCAACGGGAGGAGGGCCTTTACTTTACTTACTTACTTACTTAAATTGATTAGGTTCATGCTCTTCAGAAGAAGCATAGTCAGGTTTCTTGCAGGAAACCTGAATTTGCAAGAAATTCTTTCTTCCTGACCACAAGCCCCATTACTCCCTCCATCCTTTACCCCTACTACTCTATTTAACCTGAATAAAAACATCTATGAACAGACACCTAGACATTCTAGAGGAATGACATTGAAATAGAAGCACAATGACTTAGAGGGGTATCAATGAAATTTCCGATGTCAGAAGCTGAGCAGTTGTCACAAATGACCATACAGGTAGTTAGTATGTGATCACTATCATAGGGAACAACCAATAGGGAAAGCTTTCATGTTTTCAAGAACCCATAAATGTGCTCACATGAGAATCCCAGTAGCTAGACATCAGCCTCAGAGAAGGTACCAATAGCCGAACTGTAACAGCGGTAGTCTTACAAGAGTGTTTTGTCTCCTTCATCCATTCTTCTAGGCCCAAATTTCAAAACTGGGGGAAATGATGAAACCCAGTGAGATGTGATTCAGAGGTATGGAATAGATGAGCAGCAAGTCCATATTCATAAGCACAAGCTAAGCATGATCTGGGAGTGGAGGGAGAGCTTAGAGTGGGGGAGAGGATTTCCATTTGGATGTAAGTCTGATGTAATATTTAACTGTAGACATTTCAAAACCTGAGCATTGAGCTGGGATGAAAATGTTCTTGTATGTGATTAAAAGGCTGTGTCTCTTCATGAGTGGGAAGTTAATTCTGAGAGCATATTTGAAGAGCATATTTAAAGAGAAAAATAATTTGTTTATATGCTAAAAAGCTCAATTTTTTTCCCAATCAGCTACCTACATTTATATACATTTTGCATTTGAAGATGCATGCTGTTTAGGTATCCTATACATTTTAAAGCATAATTACATTTATTTTTATTATACTTTTTAAGATGGTGATTGGTAAAAGTAATGCAGTGAGTCACTTTTTAGAAAAAATAAACTCTTAGATGAGAATGAAGCCAATCATTTCAGTGATGATTAGCTAGGATAATATAGAAAAAAATAGAATCCCTTAATTGCATTTTTGGTACTATAAAGAACAACAATGCTGCAGGGAAAATATTCATTTTGTGTAACTTGAGTTATTTTAAAATTAAACTATGTACTTGGATTTTACAGTAGGTTAGGTATCTTAAGTAGAATGTTATTCTTTTTTGTGTGGTTTATATCGCTTGTATTTTATGTCTATTACTTTGTGCCTATCTCTTAAATATCTTATTTGTAGGTCAACAAATGAGCCCTTTGTGTCTTCTCATCTCAGTAGTAACAGAAACAGAGATATAAATTAATTCTCTGACGGTCTATAAATTATGAATAAAAATGAGAATAGATCTCTGTTGCTATATAAAGCTATAAAACCAGAACTATGAAAACTGGAGTAGGCCAAGGTTATAGATGGAAGATCTTGGTCATTGTAGCAGAGAAATTTGGAGATGGAAAAAATATAATCAAACTTTCCTGTCAGAAATATCCCTTGGGAACAGTACTTGAAATGGAATGAGAGGTTCATATTCAGAGGGGTTATGGTTGGTTAGGCCCTGTTACTGGTAAGCCCCAGACTGGTTCAGTCATCAGAACCTCCTGCACAGTATTGTGAGGTAAATTCCTGTTCCTTTCTCCGATCTATGAAAAGACTCACAAGTAGCATTCAAGGGACATAAAATTTTAATAAAGCTCCTTAGATGACTGATAACCATATCAGCTAGGTCTGTGGACTCTGGAATGTGTATTTAGCATTTATTCTTGGGGTTAGATATTGAGAGTTTACCCCAATGAAATTACATCTTCCAATTAGGTTCAGGTAGGCCTTCTTTCAGACATACTTTTGCCGTTTATAGGTAAGAAAACTTTGTGAAGTTTAAGGATGCACCTAAAATATTCATTACTGGTCTTATGTTCTCTGTGTTCTTTTCTTAAGCCCGTCTTCTGTAGGGGGTCATGACCACCTTCAGATACCAGATAGACAAGAAGGGGCATGCAACATGAAGAAATCAGATGACATTGAAGATGACTTGGAATTTTGGAATAAGCCCTGTCTGTTTACCCCTGAATCGAGGTTGGAAACTCTTAGGCAAATAGAAAAAACACGAAATGAACAAGAATCATCAAGGTAATCTATATTTTCCTGTCATTGAAAGTAAAGTAGTGAAATATTTGCTAGCCATAGTAAGTAGACTTTGCCTTTTTTTTTTTTTTTGCTTTTTGAGTCACACCCAGCGATGCTCAGAGGTCATTCCTGGCTCTGCACTCAGGAATCACTCCTAGCGGTGCTTGGGGGACCATGTGGGATGCCGGGGATTGAACCTAGATCGGCCATGTGCAAGGCAAACGCCCTACCCGCTGCACTATCGCTCCAGCCCCGACTTTGCCTTTTTCTAAGTTCATTGAATTGTATTTGCTAACATTTATTACCTTCTTTATAATAGCATGAATTACAGTATTTTATGTAGGTTTTATTTGTGTCTTTTAAAATTTTTAAAAAGTTTTAACTTTCTAGGAGACTAACACCCAAGAGTGGCCTAGATTCGTACCAGGAGGTTTTCTCCATGGCTTGGAGGCCAGCCACACATGTTAGGGGAAAAGGGAGCTCAGGTAGAGAAGGGAGCACCAAATAAAGGATGTTGGGAGGATCCTCCCAGGATGGGAGAAGCATGCTGAAAGTAGACTACAGACCAAACATGATTGCCACTCAATGCCTCTTTTGCAAACCACAACATCCATCCAAAAGGAGAGAGAGAACAAAAGGGAATGCCCTGTCACAGAGGCAGGGTGGGATGGGGGGGATGGGAGGTGGGAGGGATACTGGGATCCGTGGTGGTGGGAAATGGGCACTGGTGGAAGGATGGGTAATTGATCATTGTATAATTGAAACCCAAGCACAAAAATTTGTAAGTCTACAACTGTACCTCATGGTGTCTCACTAATAAAAATTTAAAAAAATATAAAAAAAATTAACTTTCTTATTGAATCAGCATGAGATAAAAAGCTTTCATGGTTGAGTTTCAGTCATAAAATGACTGAATGCCCATCCCTCCACCAGTGCACATTTTCTACCACTAGTCTCCCCAGTATCCCTCCTACCACCCTCACCCCATCCCACCCCCTCCCTCTGTGGATGGCACTTTTCTTTTTTATTTCTTTTTATTTATTTATTTTACAGTTGTAGATTTACAATTTTTTGTGCTTGGGTTACGATTATACAATGATCAGATACCCATCCCTCCACCAGTGCCCATTTTCCACCACCATGGATAATATCCCCCCACCCCCATACCCCCATCCCCCCCTGTCTCTGTGGCAGGGCAATCCCCTGTGTTCTCTCTCTCCTTTTGGGTGTTGTGGTCTGCAAAAGAGGCATTGAGTGGCAAACATGTTCACTCCATAGTCTACTTTCGACATGCATCTCCCCTCCTGGGAGGATCCTCCAAACATCCTTTATTTGGTGCTCCCTTCTCTATCTGAGCTGCCCTTTCCTCTAGGATACCCGGCTGGCGTCTAAGTTATGGAGTAATCCTCCTGGTGCTGATCTCAGCTATGCTTGGGTATTAATCTCGTACTTTGTTACTTTATATCCCCCAGATGAATGCAATCTTTCTATGTCTATCCCTCACTTTCTGACTCATTTCGCTTAGCATGATACTTTCCATATTGTACCACTTGTATGTAAAGTTCATGAATTCATCTTTTCTAAGAGCTACATACTACTCCATTGTGTAGATGTACCAAAGTTTCTTTAACCAGTCATCTGTTCTTGGGCATTCAGGTTTCTTCCAGTTTCTGGCTATTGTAAAGAGTGCTGCAATGAACAAACAAGTGCAGATGTCACTTCGACTATACATTTTTGCCTCTCTGGGATATATTCCCAGGAGTGGTATTGCTGGGTCAAATGGGAGCTCAATTTCTAATTTTTTGAGAATCGTCCATACTGTTTTCCAGAAGGGCTGAACCAATTGGCATTCCCACCAACAGTGAAGGAGTGTCCCTTTCTCGCCACATCCACGCCAGCATCGGTTGCTTTTGTTCTTTTGAATGTGGGCCAGTCTCTGAGGTGTGAGATGGTATCTCATTGTGGTTTTGATCTGCATCTCCCTGATGATTAATGATGTAGAGCATTTTCTCATGTGCTTTTTTGCCATTCGGATTTCTTCTTTGAGAAAGTTTCTGTTCATTTCATTGCCCCATTTTTGGATGGGGTTGGATGTTTTCTTCTTGTGGAGTTTAACCAGTATTTTGTATATCCTGGATATCAACCCCTTGTCAGATGTGTATTCGGTGAATATCCTTTCCCATTCTGTGGACTGTCTTTGTATTTTGGTCACTGTTTCTTTGGAGGTGCAGAAGCTTCTTAGTTTAAGATAGTCCTATTTATCTATCTCTGTTTTCACTTGCTCGGCCAGTGGCATGGCATCTTTGAAGATACCATTAGCTTCAATGTCATGGAGGGTTTTGCCAACTTTATCTTCAATGTACCTTATGGTTTCTGGTCTGATGTTGAGGTCTTTAATCCATTTTGATCTTACTTTTGTACATGGTATTAGGCAGAGTTCTGAGCCTATTTTTTTGCATGTAGCCGTCCAGTGATGCCAACACAATTTATTAAAGAGGCTTTCCTTACTCCACTTCACATTACTTGCACCTTTATCAAAGATTAGATGATCATATGATTGAGGGGAGATGTCAGTGTATTCAACCCTGTTCCATTGGTCTGCAGTTCTGCCTTTGTTCCAGCACCATGCTATTTTAAATATTACTGCTTTGTAGTAGAGCTTGAAGTTAGGGAGGTTGATTCCTCCCATTTTCTTTTTTCCCAAGAGTTGCTTTAGCTATTCGTGGGGGCTTATTGTTCCATATAAATTTCAGGAGTGTTTGCTCCATTTCTTTGAAGAATGTCATGGGTATCCTTATAGGGATTGCATTGAATTTATACAATGCTTTCGGTAGTATTGCCATTTTGACAATGTTAAGTCTCCCGACCCATGAGCAGGGGATATCTTTCCATTTCCTCATGTCCTCTTTTATTTCCTGAAGTAGCGTCTTGTAGTTTTCTTTGTACAGGTCCTTTACTTCCTTAGTTAAGTTGATTCCTAGGTACTTGATTTTCTGGGGCACAATTGTGAACAGGATTGTTTTTTTCATGTTGCTTTCTTCTCTCTCACTGTTTGCGTATAGGAAAGCCATGGACTTTTGGGTATTGATTTTATAACCTGCAACTTTACTATACGAGTCTATTGTTTCTAGGAGTTTTTTGGTGGAGGTTATTGGGTTTTCTAAGTAGAGTATCATATCATCTGCGAATAGTGAGAGCTTGATTTCTTCCTTTCCTACCTGAATGCCCTTAATATCTTTTTCTTGCCTAATCGCTATTGCAAGTACTTCCAGTACTATATTGAACAGCAGTGGAGAGAGTGGGCATCCCTGTCTCGTCCCTGATCTTAGAGGGAAGTCTCTCAGTTTTTCCCCATTGAGGATGATGCTTGCTGTAGGCTTGTGGTAGATGGCTTTAATTATGTTGAGAAGGCCCCCTCTATACCCATTTTGGCTAGGGTTTTCATCAGAAAGGGGTGCTGGATCTTGTCAAATGATTTCTCTGCATCTATTGATATAATCATATGCTTTTTATCGTTTCTTTTGTTGATATGATGGATTATGTTGATTGATTTTCGAATGTTAAACCATCCTTGCATCCCTGGGATGAATCCTACTTGGTCATGGTGTATGATCTTTTCGATGAGTAGTTGGATTCTATTTGCTAGTAGTTTGTTGAGGATCTTTGCATCTGTGTTCATCAGGGATATCGGCCTGTAATTCTCTTTCTTTGTGGTATCTCTGTCTGCTTTTGGTATCAGTGTGATATTTGCTTCGTAGAAACTGTTTGGAAGTGTTTTTGATATTTCAATTTCGTGGAAAAGCTTAAAGAGCATTGGGAGTATGTCCTCTTTAAAGATTTGGAAGAATTCACTAGTGAATCCATCCGGGCCAGGACTTTTGTGCTTGGGGAGACTTTTTATTACCATTTCAATTTCCTTGATGGTGATAGGTCTGTTCAGGTATTCCAGGTCTTCTTGGTTCAGCCTTGGGAGTCTGTAGGAGTCTAGGAATTTATCCATTTCCTCGAGGTTTTGATGTTCCGTGGCATAAAGCTTCTCAAAGTACTCCCTGAGGATCCTCTGAATTTCTGTGGTTTCTGTTGTAATGACCCCCTTTTCATTTCTGATTCGGTTTATTAGGGTTTTCTCTCTCCCTTTCTTTGTGAGTTTTGCTAGAGGCTTATCGATCTTGTTAATTTTCTCAAAGAACCAGCTTTTGGTTTCATTGATCCTTCGGATTGTTTTTTGGGTTTCCATCTCGTTAATCTCTGCTCTGAGTTTTATTATTTCCTTTCTCCTGTTCGGGTTGTGCTCCTTTTTTTGGTCCTTCTCCAAGCTCTTAAGCTGTGAGGTTAGGTTACTTATGTGTGCTCGCTCCTCCTTCCTGAGGAATGCTTGTAGAGCTATAAACTTTCCTCTTAACACAGCCTTTGCTGTGTCCCATAAGTTTTGGTAAATTGTGTTCTCATTTTCATTCGTTTCTAGGAATCTTTTGATTTCCTCTTTGATTTCCTGTCTAATCCACTCGTTGTTCAATATTGCACTGTTTAATTTCCAGGTGTTTGATTTAGTTTTCTGTTTTTGTGTGTGATTTATTTCTAATTTCAGCGCATTATGGTCTGAGAAGATTGTTGATACAATCTCTATCTTCTTAATTTTATGAAGGCATGTTTTGTGGCTCAGCATGTGGTCTATCTTGGAGAATGTTCCATGTACGCTTGAGAAGAATGTGTATTCAGCTTTTTGTGGATGAAGTGTCCTGTATATATCTACTAAGTCCCTTTCTTCCATTGTTTCCCTCAAATGAAGTATGTCCTTGCTAAGCTTGAGTCTGGTTGATCTATCAAGAGGTGACAAAGCAATGTTGAAGTCTCCCACTAGTATTGTGTTGCTATTGATGTCTTTTTCCAAATCTATGAGTAGTTGTTTTAAGTACTTTGCTGGTCTCTCATTAGGTGCATATACATTTATTAGTGTAAGTTCTTCCTCTTGTACAGATCCTTTGTTCAATAAGAAATGGCCT